AAAATAAATTGTGTGTGTGTGTGTGTGTGTGTGTGCGTGTATATATGTATATGTATGTGTGTGTGTGTATGTATATGTGTATGTGTATATATATACCGTATATACATATATACACACATACATATACACATACATACATACATGCATACTGTATACACAAACACATTCAAGGAATCATGATTATGAAGGAGTATTACCTAATATCTTAGCAATTACATTGATTTCTTGTTTAATAGTATACTATTTTTCTTTTACGAAGATTTTATCCTTCTAGCATTGTAGGCAATTTACAGCTGTAAGTATACCCTGGAATTTTTTGATTTTGCAAAAAGATAGTTGTGCTAGTTTTCTTCAGAAAAGTGCCTTGTGAAGCCTTAAAGATTAATTTAAGGTTTATTGCTGCATGTGACAATACTCTGTAGTGTAACATATTCATTATATGATAATTTGTTAGTTTTAAAAAGGCCACAAAAATAATTTTCAAATTAAGTTCTCAACTTTCCTGACAGTTGCTTATAAATGAAGGAGTTTGGCACTTTCAAGTTCAGTAGTCTCTTTATTTTTTAACAGAATGCTATGATGACGTTTGAAGAAGAGAAAATGCAGTTGGCATGTGATGATTTAAAAGCTACCGAAAAATTATGTGAGAGTGAAGAAGCAGGAGTCATAGAAACAATAAAAAATAAAATTAAGAAGAATGTAAGTGAAACATTGCAAATACATAGATGAATGAGTCCTGTGCCAATACAATGCTGTTTTATATTTGCCTGTCCTAGGGACTCCATAGCATATAATATGAGTAATCTCCTGTTCAACAAGATTAGTCATATCACTGTTGGTGATCTGCAGGTAAACAAGTAGTCCCTTTTTCTGTAAAGTTTTATGCAGATTTCTAGTTTTATTTCTTGTTCTTGCCTATCTGCTAAACATTAATTATGTTATTCTTCAATAGCTTAGTAAAACTTCAAAGTTTCCTTCAACAGATTAAAATCCCTCCTAGAATCCAATCTAGCCTTGAAGAAAAACATGTTTTTCATCAAAAAGCTTGCTTAGTTCTTTAATTCAATCACCTTTCTCCTCTGTTTCCACTTTTTAAGTCAGGTGTAAATAGCAGCTGTTCTCCAGTCATCATCTGTCACCAGTTACCATCTAGCCTTCAGAATTCATTTTACTAATGCTTTTACCTAGATAGATGGAAATATTTGCAGCATTATGATTTAGTTGTTTATGTCTTTGCTTGCCTTTGGGGCTTGGTTTGTTTTGCTAACACTTAAAAATAAAAATGAGAGCCACAAATTTACTTTGTGCCTTTAACTAACAATTTAGGTTATTACATAACTACAGTTGGCCTTCACTGAATTTGTTGCCAGCATGTAAATATAATAATATCTACCTTCAATGAAATTGGAAGAATGAATTTTAACTAGTGTTTCTATTAAACTGTCATATTCATGCTACATATCTTTCCTAGTTCAGTGGAGTTAGGTGTAATAAACTTCATAGTCTATAAATAATTTAAGTTTTGGCTTCCTTTGAGAACATACTGCATTATTAATGTTGAGTGCATAGAATCTGAACCCTTTGTTTAGTGTCACTATTCTATACTATAATTTCTAAAGAATTATGTGGGCCTAGTCTTTGTATCTGTTTCCTGATGTATTCTCCATAGGAAACTTGCTGTAAAAGACTAGGGAGAAGAGAGCCCATCTACTGAGGGAACAGTAGACTTTCATGTTAAGCAATGGCATTGTTGAAGGGGGTGGGGGAGAAGGTTGGTGAAAGACAATAGCAAAAAAAGTATCTTACAAAGTTCACATAGTCAATATTCTAATTATGACTTTAAATACTTTTGATATAATTTGGATATATGTTTAAAATTTATCATAGAATCTGAATATTATACTTATGAAAATATTGTATTATATATTATAGTATGAAAATCTAGCATTATATTACAGCCAAGATGACTGAATAAACTGAATGTTACAGTGGTTTTTAAAATTTAAACTGAATGTTACAGTAGTTTTTAAAATTTCAGTGGTTTTTAAGCACATTTTAAAAAAGTTTAAGAAATACAGGTCTGTTTAATTTATATTTGCATTTGTTTTTCTTTGAACAAAATTTATTACAAGGCAATTCACACTGCCTATCTTGACCAAATTTTAAATGATTAATATATGGGAGATGGAAATCTACCATTCTGTAGCACTATGCTTTTCATTGCTGGACAACATGGGAAAAATATAAAGCATTTCTGGTTCAGAGTATCAACTTCCAGAAAAGTTCCAGATCTCTCTCTCCCTCCCTCTCTCCTCTCTCTCTCTCTCTTTCCTCTCTCTCTCTCTCTCTCTCTCTTTCCCTCCCTCCCTCTTCCCCTCTCCCCCTCTCCCTTCCTTTCTCTCTGTCCCCCCTCTATCTCTCTCACACACACTGTATGACTATAACTGGTGTGACCCACAATGGAACATTCTTATGGTATGTTTTATGCATCTCTAATTAATACGATGGTTCTGTTCTTTATTATTGTCAAATAGGTTGATGGAAGGAAAACTGCCCCATCCATGATGGATCGATTGCAGAGGCAAATCATTGTGGCAGACTGTCAAGTTTATCTTGCTGTGCTCTCTTTTGTAAAACAAGAATTATCAGGTAAGTGGTACATCTATTTTTAAAATAATATTATCTAAAACCAGGATAACTTAAATGGTTGGCTTCATAGCATACAGTAAGAAAATATATTATGAATCCCATCTGTTTAAAATCTAACATATATTATAAATATTTCTAATCTAAGTCAACTCTGAGTGTAACAAACTATGCCTTTGCCATAGTTTTTGTAGTTGATGGTATCAAGTCTTGCTGTGTCTCAAAAAAGAATCAAAGAATCAAAGAATCAAAGGAGAAAAAATAATCATTTCCAATTTTTAATTATCATCATGCTTTCTCTCTTTTTTATGAACCTGCTTTCCAGGGGTGGGTTTCAGGTGGTTCACGGTGGTCCCCGTGAACCGGTTGGTCGGCAAACCCAGAAGTAAGTAACTTCCGGGAACGCTGAAGGGTCCACCCGCCCGCCCGCGTTTCTTACCCGGTTTTGATGAGTTCTGCGTTTCCACGCATGCGCAGGACGCATACAATGCCTGCGCGATCCTCCAGGAGCAGCTGGAGCATCTCACAGACGCTAGTACGCATGCGTGCACTGCGCGCGTGCACGAGGACGCCGCCAGCCCCGTTCCAACCAAAGCGGTTGGAACGGGGCGAGAAACCCACCCCTGCTGCTTTCCTAAATGCTAGCTAGTTTCTAACCTTTGTGTATATCCTCCATACATAAACAAATGTCTAATTTTTATAGTTCTACAAGGAAAACACAGTTTATTTGTATATATTTTCTAGTTTACCTATGTATAATATATAGATTGTTTTTATACAATTTTCTCTGATTTGTGCAGAGTATGAGAATATTTATTAATATTTATTATTTGTTGAGAGATTGTTTGAAATTATGATGGCACTGAACAAAGGGACTTATGATGGGTGCCTGAAGTTATGCCATTGCAGAACCTCCACAGTCATGTAATTGCAGTCTGGGCTCAACCCTTTCACACTTACAAAAGATTACCACTCTGCAGCTGCCACCCCCTCTCTTTCATGATTATGTGTTTGCCATTTGCAATCTTCCCTGCTAGCTTCCTCAGAAAGTCAACAGGAAGGTTGGCAAGGAAGGTCACAAGCCGCTGCCACAGGACTCACTCTGGTTCCTGGGAGCTGGGTGAAAAAGATCAGTTGTGACCCATTTTGAAATGGACCTTTTTCATTCAATCTGTTTTGTGAATCTGAAGGGCTGTCTTCCAGATTGATTTTGCTCTGTGTGGGTGGAGTCTCTCAAAAACGCTGACTGAAAAAGTCCATGATGAAAGCCAAAAGGGATTTTAGCAATAGCAAATAGCACTTAGACTTATATGCCGCTTTACAGTGCTTTATAGCCTTCTCTTAAGTGGTTTACAGAGTCAGCATATTGCCCCCAACAATCTGGGTCCTTGTTTTACCAACCTCGGAAGGATGGAAGGCTGAGTCAACCTTGAACTGGTCAATATTGAACTGCTGACAATCACCTGAGTTAGCCTGCAATACAGCATTCTAACCATTGCGCCACCATGGCTCTTTTAGCACAGGACACTTGTATCATGGTTCCCTTCTGGACAAGGAGGGAGGGGGAGGATCTTGGGGATCCAAGCTTCTTTTCTCCAGGGCAGTGCAAGTATTCCCTTCTGTGCATGGAGAAGAGCTGCCTGTGCTCTTTCACTCTGTCTACTTAGCGACTGCAACTGGGAAGAGGGATTGCAGTCATTGAGTGAGGCAGTCCCATGGGCACCTCACTTAATGACCACAATGATTTAAACCAAAAATTTGGGCCCAATTGTGGTCATAAGTCAAGGATGACCTGTATAGATTTGAAATAAGCAGGGGCCTCTAATACTTTGTGTGTGTTTGGGTGTAGAATGTGGTTGAAAGTTCTGTCACTTGCATTCTCTGTTATGAGAAAGGAATGCTGTGTTTTGTTATTAATTAAATTAATAATGAAATTCAATTTTGATTGTATACCTTTTTGATAACACAATTTTGTATTGTTAAAGATTCTATTATTAACATTCACCTTTGAGCATAGCTTCCTTTCTACATGGTTAAATACAATTTTAAAACACCACAATTCACACGTTTGGCATATGGTTACTAGTTTCTATTAATACTAGCAAAAATATTTTTAATTAATCAATTGATGCAAAGCAGTAATATATTCTAAGCAAAACTGGTCCTTGACTAATTATTTTCTTAAGTACAAAAACATATATGTATAAAGCCTAGAAGTATATGTGAAAATTTATAAAATATCCCAACAGATACTTTAAGTAATTAAATATAATTAAGTAATGATGTTTACCAGAAAATTATTCTGGCTAAAAAACAGCAAAGCTATATAAAGTTTTTAGCTATGTAGTTTTTATGAAATGTTCCTCGTATTTCCTACTTTATTTATGATTGCACCATCCAAGGTGAAAGGGGTAGAGTTTTTGTCCATTGCTCCATGGTTACTGAAGCATTGCTGAACACTTATTGTACAAATGCTTACCTTGTGGTGAACCACATGAGAGCCAAATATGCTATGCAGCAGAAAGAGACTGAACGGCACAGTCTTGCAGTAATTTTAGCTTCCTGTTAAAGCTGAATCATGCTTCGGGAACAAGTGCGTTATTGCAATAGACAGCTTGATTTTCTATATCTTGGAGGTTCTTGCTTCATTAATCCTTTAGAATAAATGTACCATATCAGGGCTATAGAAATTCAGATAATTGCTAAATATGATGTAAAGAGATAGAATTTCCTCCATTTCTTTGCTGTTACATGTTTGTTATTTAAATATCTTCAGCCCTGTGCATATTAAATAGGGATATAACAATTTTGTTTGTGCTATAGTAAATTGAACACTATGTTTTCTTAGTTCTTTAACCTTATGATTGGATACAGAGAACACCCTAAATGAGAAAGTGATTTGCTTCTTTATAACTGCAAAGCTTTCAATGTATCCTATCACAAAGTCAGAAAATTAAAAATATATTGCGATTTACTGCTTACTTTGTTGAGTTGTGGAGGTAGTCCTTGATTTATAACCACAACTGAGCCCAGAACATACGTTGTTAAAAATGAGAAATTTGTTAAGTGAGTTTGGTCCCATTTTATGACTTTTCTTGCCACATTTGTTAAGTGACAACTGCAGTTGTTGAATTATTAACATGATTGTTAAGTGAATCTGGCTTCCCCATTGATTTTGCTTGTCAAAAGATCTCCAAAGGTGATCACATGACCCTGGGACATTGCAACCATCACAAACATGAACCAATTGTCAAAGATTTGAATGTAAATCATGTCACCATGGGGATGCAGCAAAGGTCATAAGTGTGAAAAATGGTCATGTCACTTTTTTTGGTGCTGTTGAAACTTCAAACGGTCATTAAATGTTGTAAGTCGACGGTTACCTGTATTTAGTTATAAGAGTTTGTTAATATTTGCAAATGCTTCTAGCAATATTTCTACACATAATTACCCCTTCTTCACATATTGACTAGGAAAAAATAAGAATTGTAGTTCACAAATCTGGAGGGCATTTGGATGTGAACATCTGGATGGGACATAGATTAACCTAAAAAATTCTTTCTCTTTGACTAAAGCTCTTTTTATCTCTTTATATATTTTTGTTCCCCTCAGCTTATATAAAAGGTGGGTGGATCCTTAGAAAAGCTTGGAAAATCTACAATAAGTGCTATTCAGACATTAATACACTTCAGGAATTATATCAGAAGAAGATAACTCAGGAATCTTTGACTTCTGATGCTACAAATGATAATCATATTGCTGCAGAAGGTGTTACAGAGGATTCACTTAACAGACTGAAAGGTGCTGTTAGCTTTGGATATGGACTTTTTCATCTTTGCATATCCATGGTGCCCCCAAACCTGCTCAAAATCATCAATCTACTGGGTTTTCCTGGAGACCGCCTGCAGGGGCTTTCTTCATTGATGTATGCAAGTGAAAGTAAGGACATGAAGGCCCCTTTAGCTACGTGAGTAGCTATATTGCAATGCTTTGGTAATAGCTTAGAACTGAAGTAAGTAAGTAAACTTCAAGCCAATGTAAGGGAGTAATATTGTCTTGTCTTTTTTTTAAAAAAAATGAAAACATCACCTAGTTAAATTAGGAGTTGTGTTTTGATATGCTTTAAGTCAGAGGTCTTCAAACTTGGCAACTTTAAGACTTGTGGATTTCAAATCCCAGAATTCTCCAGGGAGTTGAAGTCCACAAGTCTTAAAGTTGCCAAGTTTGGGGACCCCGGCTTTAAGTTATAGAATTGGGCCGTTAAGAAAAGAACCTTATTGTGTCCTTAGCTTATTTTTACTCAGTGCACTCAGAACAAATTCCAGTTAAACCATTCTTAAATTCTTCATCGTTTAAAATATTTTACTATCTTCAGTATGCATGTTTAGACATTCTACTAAGAAGTAATTTTTCTGTATTTGTATGCTTCTGTGTAAATCAGTAGTAGAATGCCTTTTTAAAAACACAAGTACTTGAGTTGGCACTCTTCTGTCCTTCAGCTGACAATGAGCTTTTGTATCTGGGCTCCATTTCAACAAAAGGGTTGCTTTTCCACACCCAAGTCTTTGTTAGCTATAGCCTTTCTTCCCAACTTAATGTCATGACTCAATGGAGGAGCCTCTTTAACAGATTCTGCAAGTTCAGGGTTATCTTGGATCTGGAACTGAAATTCCCTGAAATGGTCCGCTTTCTATTTAAGCGACCATAGGGCTCCAGTTCTGTGGTTCAGCAATCTGGATAACTCCTAGGTGATTGCAATGAGACAATGAACATTTAAATTTTTGTTCATATCCAGTGATTGAAGAAATAAAGAAGAAATTTAATTAATTTAAGCACCCTATTTCCTCTTGTGAGAACCTTTAATTTTTTGTTGACAATAGTGGCAGTGTTACTGATGTCTGAAGTAACAAGAGTTGTTACATTAAAATTATTGGGTGCTAATTTGTTTATGTTTAGTAGGCTGATTTATAATTTGATTGTATAATTGGTATGCTCAGTGGCATTTTCTAGGGAATTCCATATCTCTTCTACTATCAGATTACAACTTCAGAAATTGAACAATGGTTCTTTCTTTCATTCCACTTTTGTTGAGTAAAAGCTAACTTATTTTTTTATGTTTTGATAAAAACATCTCTGGTAAAATAATAATTTAGTGACTGGACCCTCCATTTAACTTTTTGAGAGACAAGATCTGTGTTGTAGAAGGCATTTTATATTGATAGGCAAAGGAATATCTGAATAAGACTCATTTAGTACAGTTTTCATTTAGTTTCTATCTAGACATTATGGAAACTCTGCCACTTTTTAGAGGAGACATAGGAGGACACCAGAACCTAAGCCTACATATTCTTCATGCCTGCCATAACTCAATCAAATTCTAGACTGCTTTACACAAAGGAGGTGTGAAGTTTTTATTGTAGCCATTCATGTAATTTACTTGCAAGCAGGTTCCAAAGAGAGATGTGGATGCTTGCTTGTTTCAGAGGGTGTTTGGGAGCAGTAGGTAATACTGTGTGCATGCTTTCAACCTGCCAGTCTAAGCTGCTGAAGTTTTAAAAAAGCAATTTGTTTAATGGACTATTTCATATTACTGTATATTCTTTGATGCTTCTGAATTTCCAAACTATGGAACTAGCTAATGTCAATGCCTTTTTATGCTTTTAGGTTAGCCTTGCTGTGGTACCACACTGTGGTTCGCCCTTTCTTTGCTTTGGATGGCAGTGATACCAAAGCAGGATTGCAAGAGGCTGAAGAGATTCTTCTGAAAAAAGAAGCTGCTTATCCAAACTCATCTCTCTTTATGTTTTTCAAAGGCAGAATACAGCGTTTAGAGGTACTGCAAGCTTCGATCTTGGTAGTTCTTCCGATTCTTCTATGATATAGTAGTTTTAAAAAAATGCCCAGAGTCTGGCAGTAGAACTATGCTACTACTAGTGGAAGTGCTATGACATTGTTTTGTGTATGGTAATATTATGCCATGTGTTGAGTCCCTGTTATTCAAGTTCTTCCACTTAGAGTTGAAGGTGGGTCTGCAGAAGGGGGCAGTTTGTGATAGATATTTCAGAATAGTGTGGAAAATTTGTTGATTTGTTTTTCAACAAACAGTGAGAGATTTTCTTCAGGAGCAGTAGAATAGAATNATGTACCATATCAGGGCTATAGAAATTCAGATAATTGCTAAATATGATGTAAAGAGATAGAATTTCCTCCATTTCTTTGCTGTTACATGTTTGTTATTTAAATATCTTCAGCCCTGTGCATATTAAATAGGGATATAACAATTTTGTTTGTGCTATAGTAAATTGAACACTATGTTTTCTTAGTTCTTTAACCTTATGATTGGATACAGAGAACACCCTAAATGAGAAAGTGATTTGCTTCTTTATAACTGCAAAGCTTTCAATGTATCCTATCACAAAGTCAGAAAATTAAAAATATATTGCGATTTACTGCTTACTTTGTTGAGTTGTGGAGGTAGTCCTTGATTTATAACCACAACTGAGCCCAGAACATACGTTGTTAAAAATGAGAAATTTGTTAAGTGAGTTTGGTCCCATTTTATGACTTTTCTTGCCACATTTGTTAAGTGACAACTGCAGTTGTTGAATTATTAACATGATTGTTAAGTGAATCTGGCTTCCCCATTGATTTTGCTTGTCAAAAGATCTCCAAAGGTGATCACATGACCCTGGGACATTGCAACCATCACAAACATGAACCAATTGTCAAAGATTTGAATGTAAATCATGTCACCATGGGGATGCAGCAAAGGTCATAAGTGTGAAAAATGGTCATGTCACTTTTTTTGGTGCTGTTGAAACTTCAAACGGTCATTAAATGTTGTAAGTCGACGGTTACCTGTATTTAGTTATAAGAGTTTGTTAATATTTGCAAATGCTTCTAGCAATATTTCTACACATAATTACCCCTTCTTCACATATTGACTAGGAAAAAATAAGAATTGTAGTTCACAAATCTGGAGGGCATTTGGATGTGAACATCTGGATGGGACATAGATTAACCTAAAAAATTCTTTCTCTTTGACTAAAGCTCTTTTTATCTCTTTATATATTTTTGTTCCCCTCAGCTTATATAAAAGGTGGGTGGATCCTTAGAAAAGCTTGGAAAATCTACAATAAGTGCTATTCAGACATTAATACACTTCAGGAATTATATCAGAAGAAGATAACTCAGGAATCTTTGACTTCTGATGCTACAAATGATAATCATATTGCTGCAGAAGGTGTTACAGAGGATTCACTTAACAGACTGAAAGGTGCTGTTAGCTTTGGATATGGACTTTTTCATCTTTGCATATCCATGGTGCCCCCAAACCTGCTCAAAATCATCAATCTACTGGGTTTTCCTGGAGACCGCCTGCAGGGGCTTTCTTCATTGATGTATGCAAGTGAAAGTAAGGACATGAAGGCCCCTTTAGCTACGTGAGTAGCTATATTGCAATGCTTTGGTAATAGCTTAGAACTGAAGTAAGTAAGTAAACTTCAAGCCAATGTAAGGGAGTAATATTGTCTTGTCTTTTTTTTAAAAAAAATGAAAACATCACCTAGTTAAATTAGGAGTTGTGTTTTGATATGCTTTAAGTCAGAGGTCTTCAAACTTGGCAACTTTAAGACTTGTGGATTTCAAATCCCAGAATTCTCCAGGGAGTTGAAGTCCACAAGTCTTAAAGTTGCCAAGTTTGGGGACCCCGGCTTTAAGTTATAGAATTGGGCCGTTAAGAAAAGAACCTTATTGTGTCCTTAGCTTATTTTTACTCAGTGCACTCAGAACAAATTCCAGTTAAACCATTCTTAAATTCTTCATCGTTTAAAATATTTTACTATCTTCAGTATGCATGTTTAGACATTCTACTAAGAAGTAATTTTTCTGTATTTGTATGCTTCTGTGTAAATCAGTAGTAGAATGCCTTTTTAAAAACACAAGTACTTGAGTTGGCACTCTTCTGTCCTTCAGCTGACAATGAGCTTTTGTATCTGGGCTCCATTTCAACAAAAGGGTTGCTTTTCCACACCCAAGTCTTTGTTAGCTATAGCCTTTCTTCCCAACTTAATGTCATGACTCAATGGAGGAGCCTCTTTAACAGATTCTGCAAGTTCAGGGTTATCTTGGATCTGGAACTGAAATTCCCTGAAATGGTCCGCTTTCTATTTAAGCGACCATAGGGCTCCAGTTCTGTGGTTCAGCAATCTGGATAACTCCTAGGTGATTGCAATGAGACAATGAACATTTAAATTTTTGTTCATATCCAGTGATTGAAGAAATAAAGAAGAAATTTAATTAATTTAAGCACCCTATTTCCTCTTGTGAGAACCTTTAATTTTTTGTTGACAATAGTGGCAGTGTTACTGATGTCTGAAGTAACAAGAGTTGTTACATTAAAATTATTGGGTGCTAATTTGTTTATGTTTAGTAGGCTGATTTATAATTTGATTGTATAATTGGTATGCTCAGTGGCATTTTCTAGGGAATTCCATATCTCTTCTACTATCAGATTACAACTTCAGAAATTGAACAATGGTTCTTTCTTTCATTCCACTTTTGTTGAGTAAAAGCTAACTTATTTTTTTATGTTTTGATAAAAACATCTCTGGTAAAATAATAATTTAGTGACTGGACCCTCCATTTAACTTTTTGAGAGACAAGATCTGTGTTGTAGAAGGCATTTTATATTGATAGGCAAAGGAATATCTGAATAAGACTCATTTAGTACAGTTTTCATTTAGTTTCTATCTAGACATTATGGAAACTCTGCCACTTTTTAGAGGAGACATAGGAGGACACCAGAACCTAAGCCTACATATTCTTCATGCCTGCCATAACTCAATCAAATTCTAGACTGCTTTACACAAAGGAGGTGTGAAGTTTTTATTGTAGCCATTCATGTAATTTACTTGCAAGCAGGTTCCAAAGAGAGATGTGGATGCTTGCTTGTTTCAGAGGGTGTTTGGGAGCAGTAGGTAATACTGTGTGCATGCTTTCAACCTGCCAGTCTAAGCTGCTGAAGTTTTAAAAAAGCAATTTGTTTAATGGACTATTTCATATTACTGTATATTCTTTGATGCTTCTGAATTTCCAAACTATGGAACTAGCTAATGTCAATGCCTTTTTATGCTTTTAGGTTAGCCTTGCTGTGGTACCACACTGTGGTTCGCCCTTTCTTTGCTTTGGATGGCAGTGATACCAAAGCAGGATTGCAAGAGGCTGAAGAGATTCTTCTGAAAAAAGAAGCTGCTTATCCAAACTCATCTCTCTTTATGTTTTTCAAAGGCAGAATACAGCGTTTAGAGGTACTGCAAGCTTCGATCTTGGTAGTTCTTCCGATTCTTCTATGATATAGTAGTTTTAAAAAAATGCCCAGAGTCTGGCAGTAGAACTATGCTACTACTAGTGGAAGTGCTATGACATTGTTTTGTGTATGGTAATATTATGCCATGTGTTGAGTCCCTGTTATTCAAGTTCTTCCACTTAGAGTTGAAGGTGGGTCTGCAGAAGGGGGCAGTTTGTGATAGATATTTCAGAATAGTGTGGAAAATTTGTTGATTTGTTTTTCAACAAACAGTGAGAGATTTTCTTCAGGAGCAGTAGAATAGAATAACAGAGTTGGAAGGGACCTTGGAGGTCTTCTAGTCCAACCCCCTGCCTAGGCACGAAACCCTACACCACTTCAGANTGATGAAGATGTTGAAGAGTATTGGGCCTAAAACAGAGCCTTGGGGTATTCCACTGCATACTTCCCTCCATGTAGATGCAGTTCTGTTCTTTCTTTTCTCACGTACAATCAGTATTCTTTATGGCATTTCTCCTGGTTGTTGCTTTTTCTGTCACAATCACATATGAGCTGGCAGTTTTGGAGGACATGTGCGCAAGGAAGAAGACTACTAGAGTGCTGAATTTTACATTGGTTTCAATAACTAGTCCACACTTTGTAATTCTTACAAGCATTTCACGAGATGATCATTGCAATTAACTTTCTTTTATACTGTTGTAGCATGATTTGAATGAACATTTTTAAAGCTGATACTTCTATATTTTGATTGCAGTTTTTCTTCTCTTTTTAGTGTCAAATCAACAGTGCCTTGACCTCCTTCAATACTGCTTTGGAACTTGCAACTGATCAGAGAGAGATTCAGCATGTCTGCCTCTATGAAATTGGTATATGATAACATTAATGTTTCCTTTCTGTATAGATATAATAAGTATCTGAATGATTCAGTCTCCAGCAGTTATATATTTATTTGATTTCAAAATTTATAGGGCTGCCCAATTCAAACACTGTGACTCTGGATGACATATAGAATAAACTTGCAGTAGATCAAAAGGAAGCAAAACAAAATCCAATATAACGACGAACAGCATTTTTATCAAATAGCAACCAGGCAAACAAGAAAATGACCACATGCCACACTCAGTGCCTAGGGAAAGAGCCAGATTTCAATGGCTTTCCTCAAGGCAAAAAGATTTGGGGCCTGTGATATTGGAGAGGGGCGGGGGTAGGGAATTGTTGCAGAGAACAGGAGCAACCCCAGAAAAGGCAGACTTTCTAGGTCTCATAAGATGACAAGATTTTACAATGCCCTTTCTGTTGGTACCTCAAGAAACGCAGTCTTGTGCCACATAGGGCTTTGAAGATAATACCTAGCACTTTGAATTGCATTCAGAAGCCTATTAGAAGCCAGCTCGCAGAGTATATTTAGCTATTTTAACAATTATTTTCTTTTGTTATGAATAATATATAGGACATACAAAATTTCTGTGTTCAACAATTTTGCCTTTTAGGCTGGTGCAGCATGATAGAAATGAACTTCAAGGATGCTTTCAAATCATTTGAACGTCTTAAAAATGAATCAAGATGGTCCCAGTGTTATTATGCCTACTTAACAGCAGGGAAGTATTGTTATATGATTCAGAAGCTTGTGCAATTGGGGTGGAAATAATATAGTGTTTGTTCTTTGGTGTCAACATATTTTATTAAGAAAATTACTCACATAAATAAATGCAACAGCATCAAAAATATACAGGTAGTTCTTGATTTATTGGGACCAGATTCCCATTGCTAAGCAAGATAATTGTTAGGTGAGTCACACCCGATTTTACAACCTTTTTTGTCATGGTTGTTAAGCGAAATACTGCAGATGTTAACTGAATTATGCAGTTGTAAGTGAATCCATCTTCTTTCATTGGCTTTGCTGGTCAGAAGCTAGATGGGAAGGTCCTGTTGAAAATACATGACAGTTGCCAGGCACCCAAATTTTGATCATGTTACCATGGGAATGTTGCAATGGTAAGTGTGAGGACCAGTCACAAGCCACTTAAAATTTTCAGTGCTGTTGTAACTTGAAACGGTCACTAAGCAAATGGTTGTAAATTAAGGACTACCTGTATTGGATGCATTTCTGTTGTGTCACTTATAGTGAGTTTTGGAACATACGTTGTTCTTGCATTATTTATTGGTAGGTCTATATCTACTTAATCAACAGGTAACCCTGGGTGCCTAATAGTAAATGTAGTAATGATGCAAAACAATTAAAAGCAAACAAACATGTAAATGGAACAAAACCCAACAAATAGCAATTATCTCACCCCAAAAATTGCAAATGCATCACATCCTATATTTCAGCATACTTTATATTTGTTTTTATAAGATCTTAAAATATCTTAGTTGCTATTCAAAAAGCAACACTGAATCTGACTGCAGATTTGCAGTTTAGTGGACATGATTCAGAAAGGAAGGGAACAGGAAACCCAACAAATTAAGAATCAATGATTCATAAAATTTTCTGCATGTTTAATGAGCATGTGGGATTCTTAGTGAGGGAACAGGACCTTTTGTTTTAAATTAATGAAAGGAATTGTTTTTTATTACAGTGTGTCAAGGAGCTACTGGTGAAGTGAATGGTGCACAGACTGTTTTCAAGGAAGTCCAGAAGCTTTTCAAAAGAAAAAACAATCAAATTGAACAATTCTCAGTCAAAAAGGTCAGGTGAACATAAATTGGACAGAATTGGTTCATGGGTGGGCAATCTGCAACCATACGACCACATTTAAACCTCAAGCTTCCTCCCTTTTTTGTGATCCTCAAAATCCCCTTTTAATGGGCTGCTAAACCTCAGTAGTAATAAGTCCCTGGAAAATGATAGGAAAGGCTCTAAGGTAGAAGAAATGCAATTTAAAAAGAAGAAAAAACCCCTATTGGGCTTCCTCCCCCAATTTGCATCAGCTACATGTTCTGTCTTGATTCAATTAAAGTTGGGTGCGGCTACAGGCAATAACCTAACTGTAGTTTGTTTATCTAGTTAAGGTATGAGCACCAGCTCTATTTGCAACAGGTGACTTTTTGGGAGGAAGAATAAGATGTTGACTGACATCAAAAGATGTAACAGATGAGATAGTGTACATTTTTGTATCTGACTACAGTATACAAATCATGTTCTGTTAACAATATGCTTAGATACATTACTCCAAAAAGCACCGTGGAAGAAAGTGATGCTCATAGCTATTTCGTGCTAACTTGTGCCAGCTAAGACAAGAATGATGGGAAGTAGGACTTAGACTGATATACTGCTTTACAGTGCTTTACAGCCCTCTTGAAGCAGTTTAGAGTCAGCATATTGCCCCCCCCCAAAAAAAAATTTTTTGGGGGGGTCCTCATTTTACTGACTTTGGAAGGATGGAAGGCTGAGTCAACCTTGAGCCTGGTGAGATTTGAACTGCCAAATTGCAGGCAGCAGGCAGGCAACAGAAGGACCTGCAGTACTGCGCCACAGTGGCTCATGTAGGTATCTCTTGTTCTTTTTCTTTTAACCTTCTTGTTGCCGATAATACTGTAAAGGAAATTGTGCTGGCTTAAGAGGTTTTTTTTTAGAGAGAAATTATTGTGGAATTTCTCTAGCAAAAGAATGAGCTTGGAATTTCAGACTGCTTCTATTCAATCCTGCCTGAGCATTGGAGAAGGCCCTGGGTGGAATGAATCACTTGGCAGGAATACAACAGCACACGCACAGCAGTAACTAGAGGTTTTAGTAGAATATTGCAATGTTCTTTTTCCTGTGGAGGAAAGACATCTCTGCCTCGTCATTCAGAATAAAATATGCCAGATGGTTTAATTATGATTATAAACAATGCAGCTATTTCATTTAGCATTCAGTAGTAAGCAATTGATGGTAATCTATCCAGGAATACTTTGGACCACTTGTGGTGAATTTTGGCAAAAAAGAACATTTATTCAGTATATCTGACAGGATTTTATGTTATGATTTGTAATAACTGATAATATCTTAAATCATAAAAGGGAAAAAAACTACACTTAAAGAAATAACTTTTTAAAAATACTTATTAGTTGTAACCCTACTTATTTGATCATTACTGTTTGGTTAATGTGGGTAGTTGGTATTTTCATGTGTACATTTAAAATTGCCTCCTCCAAAAATAAAAATAAAAAATCATTATTTGGAGCCAAGGCTTCTAAGTTCAAACTGAATGTCAGAGATGAAACAGACCTCTTGCTCTGTGTTCCAGTCCTTAGTTATACAACAATTAAAAGCTGAATTGTTATTCTCTAAATCTCTCTATCGATCTGTTTCAGGGCCAGCACAAAGCTGTCTCTATTCTTGTGACCTTTACTATTGTGTTAAAAAAAAAACAAGATTAGGAACAGCACTCTTAGGGTTCCTATCCTAGGCTGACTGGAGCCCTGAAAATTAAGTCATAGGGCTCTACATTCTGGGATTGGAGGCTAACACATATGAAGAATGGTTGCAGGAATTGGGTATGTCTAGTTTAATGAAAGGAAGGACTAGAGGTGGCATGATAGAAGTGTTCCAATGTCTAAGGGGCTGCCACAAAGAAGAGGGAGTCAAACTAGTCTCCAAAGCATGTGAAGGTAGAACAAAAAGCAATGAATGGAAACTAATTAAGGAGAGAACCAGCCTAGAAATAAGGAAAAACATCCTGCCTGTTAGAACAATTAATCAGTCAAACGTTTTTGGTGCTGCATCACAGGAGATTTTTATAAAGAGATTGGGCTACTACTTGTCTGAAATGGTATAGGGTCTCCTGTTTGAGCAAAGGGCTGGACTAGAAGACCACGATCCTTTCTAACTCTGTTATTCTATTCTGTTACATTTCAGCATTCTAAAATTGTTGGTTCTTATGTTGAACTTTTAATGCTTTTCATGTTTTCCCAGTGTAATCTCTCCCTCCCTCCCTCCCTCCCTCCCTCCCCATTATATTACACTGGGAAAACATGAAAATATATCCCAATGCTTAAAAGTAGTTTCCCTCCAATTATTTAGAAAATAAAACCAGTATCTGATCTGTTTTCCAGGCAGAGAGATTTAGGAAGCAAAAACCAACCAAACAACTTTGTGTATTGGCATCCATCGAGGTACTATACTTATGGAAAGCTCTTCCAAACTGTTCATTCACCAATCTACAGCACATGAGTCAAGGTATACATGTGAATTCTGCTTTGCATACTTTTGCATATATTCTTTCTTCTACAAGACAATACATTTTCCTGTCCCTTTTTTTCAATTGCGGCTAGCAAGCAGTTTGTGTCCCTTTGAAGCAAGAAGTTGATTTCCTGATCTTATTCCTGTACCTTGACCTGATTAATCCTAATGCATAAAATATTAAGAAATAAGTTGATAATATAGGTCCTCAGGTTATGGCCACTCATTCAGTGACCATTCAAAGTTAAGATGGTACTGAACAAGAGGATTAGAAGTTGCAGTCATTGCAGTTTCCCCATGGTCATGTGATTTCAATTTGGCCATTTAATAACTTGCAGTTACAATGGTTGCAGCATCCTATGGTTACATGATTGCCATTTGCAACCTTCCCTGCCAGCTTCCCACAAGCAAAGTCATTGGGGAAGCTGGCAGGAAGTCACAAGGTGCTCTCATTCCTGTCACTTTTTCACCTGTCCTTCCATGCTCTATAGTGTCTGTTCTTCCCTCTAGAGTGCCTGCTTGCCCACCTTTTGTGGCACCCACCCCAGCACCTGCTGGACCACCCACACTCTATTGCAATTACTTGTGGCACTGCCACCACCATCACCCCCAAACACCGTAGTGCCCGGCCATAGCACCTGCCCACCTATCCGTAGCTCTTACTTTTCAGCCTGCTTCCTGAATTTCCTCCTCATCAGTCCACAGTTTATGATCCATATACAGGTAGTCCTTGACTTACGAGCACCATTGAGCCCAGAATTTATGTTGCTAAGTAAGAAATTTGTTAAATAAGTTTTGTCCCTCTTTATGACTTTTTTTACCACATTTGTTAAGTGAATCATTGAAGTTGTTAAATTAAAATTAAATTAAAAGCTTTTTTAGCAGTCTTTTAGATAGGCTTGCCTTTGTTTGAAGAATTTTGAATCTAGAGAATGGAGGTTGTGGAATGGAAGAATAGTATCAATGTCAAATGTATATGTCATCATTGTCATTTATTCCTGTATTTTTCTCCTTCTCAAGCTTGCCAGGAAATTGAGGATTCAACAGTTGTTGGTTTGAAGAACTTGCTACTTGGTGCCATACATAAATGCTTAGGAAATGCTGAAGATGCAGTTCAGGTAACTGAGAATAGAGTGAAAATATGCTAGTATATTCAAGCATATAAAAAAACAATTATCAATTAACAAGAAAACATACCAATAATGGTAATAAAACAAATTAAAAATTTAGTATGAGAATACATAGAGCCAAAGATAGAGTGCCTTCATCTTATAGACCCAATTCAGGCTGTCAGACCATAACCCATCCCATAGAATTGTTACACTTTTTGTCTTTGTTTCTTCGTTTATTACCCATTTCCTCTTTCTCTCATTTTTGTTTTGCTTGCAGTAAATTCTTTCTAATTCATCCCAATATTATTACACTATTTTTTCTCTTTAAAACTTTCTGTCTTCCTTATGACCTTGCCTTCATCCATTCTCAATTCTTTTAGAGTCTTGTAGTTTTCCATTGCATCCTTGTCTGCTACTTGTATCACCAGTATTTTGACAATTTTCAGTTATGCATCACCATGCTAGGCTGGGCTAGAGATGCTATAGCAGTATTGATCTGGTGCTTACAGACTATAGAAGCCTAGACGGGATGAAGCAGGCTAAAGATGAATCCCAATAAGTCTGATTTACTGTTTATTCAGTGATCACCAATCTCTCTGTTTTATCTGATGACAACTTTAGATTAGGTACCGTAGTGGTCCCCTTGAAAGAGCAGATCCATGACTTAGATATCTTCTTAAATTTATGACAATTGCTGGATGGGCTGTTGGATTAGTTGTGGCCCAATGTAGAATGAAAAGGTCTGGTTATATACTGCTGCTCTCATCTGAGAGACAGACTACTGCAATGCATTCCACATGGGGTTACCTTTCAAGGTTATTCAAATTGCATTAGTGTAGAACACATCTGCTTGCATGCTGGCAGGGGAGAGCTGCCCCAGCCATGTAACATCCTGTACTACAGGTACTGCATTGGCTTTCAGTAAGTTTCCAAACACAGCCCAAAATGTTACTTTGAATCTTCAATGCTCTGGCGTTGATGATGTTACCTCGCTTGGGTAATGAAACTCTGCAAGAAAATAGCCAAGCTCAGAAAGCACCAAGGCCCCTTCACTTTAATGCTATAAATGGCTTGGCTCCCAAGCAGTGCAAGTCTCCTGGTAAAATTGGTCATTCTGGTGTGAGGGTGGGTGGGGGGTTGGGTTTGAATACAGGATATGGGGCTAGTTGAGGTTCATTGGTGAGGTTTATCATTGGTGGTTCCAACCTTGTTAAAAACATTTGCCCAGAAAGGAAATTGGCACCAAACATTGCAGTTTTTAATAAAGCAGTGAAGATTGAACTATTTTACAATCCTTATGAGGATTGTTTTCACTTAGGATAAAGAGAATACCTATGTGATTGCACTGTATTATTATTATTAATAATAATAATAATAATAATAATAATAATAATAATAATAATATGGGACTTGGGTTTTTAATGATTTTATTGTAGTTTGTTTGGTTGCTCTAATGTAAACCAGAATGAGACTGGAGATGCTGGTGAGACTTATGGTGATTTGCAATATTTCTCTTTCTCTCTTATGTACATATCCTTTCTCACTCAATTGCAGTTAGTAGCATTACATAAAACCAAAGGTTAATGGCCACTAAATTTGTTTCCTAATGTGTGAGGTCAACATAGCATGTTTAGTCAATTTTTTATTAATTGTTTGAAATCCAGAATTTCAGAAATACTTTTAACAGTTTTTCAGATATATTTTTTAGAAAGAACAATATTTATTGTGACTGCAGAGATTATGTCTATGTGTCAAGTATTTTCTATTCAGCAAGTTTTACCACTGTCACCTACTATTTATCCATAGCCATTAGCAATTATTTCCCCATCTGATTTTGATTTGGTTCATTTATGTTTGAAATGATAATTGGCAAATGAAAAGATTTTATGACTGGACTAATTAAAGTTTCTGAGTCAAGTGCAAACAAAATCATTTTGTTCTTAGAAATAATGGGATAATTTTTCTTTTGCAGTTCTTTCAAAGAGCCCTTAAAGATGAAATCTGCCGCCAGAACAACCTGTATGTTCAACCATATGCTTGCTATGAACTTGGCTGTCTTTTATTAGAAAACCCTCAGGTAATTGGAGGGTGGTGGTGGTAAATCTGAGAATATATTTTTATTCTAACCGTTTTTTCTGCAGTTGAAATGATAATTGGTAACTTTGACTGGATTGATAGCCTATGTTCTTCAGAAATGGGGAACTTGTGCCCATCCAGGTGTTGCTACATTGTGGTTCCCGGAATCATGCCATGCTGCCTGGAGTCACTAAGAAGTATAATTCAATAATACAAGTAGTCCTCAATTTACGACTACAATTGAGCCCAAAATTTATGTTGTTAAGGGAAAAAATTTGTTAAGTAAGATTTGCCCCATTTTACAACTTTTCTCGTCACAATTCACAGTTTGTTAAGTGAATCACTATAGTTGTTAAATTAGTCCCATGGTTGTTAAATAAATATGGTTTCCCCATTGACTTTACTTGTCAGAAGGTCACAAAAGGGGATTACGTGACCCTGGGAAATTGCAACGGTCATAAATGCGAGTCAATTTTCAAGCATCCGAATGTAAATCATGTGACCATGAGGATGCTACAATGGTCATTAAGTGTGAGAAATGGTCATAACTCACTATTTTCAGTCCCATTGTAACTTTGAACAGTCACTAAATGAACTGCTGTAAGTTGAGAGCTACCTGTACTTGGAGTGCCCCAGGTTTATTTGCATATATATATGTGTGTGTGTGTGTGTGTGTGTGTGTGTGTGTGTGTGTGTGTGTGGCTTGTTGTTGCTTTTTGTCCTCTCTCTCTCCCTTTTTTTCCTTGTGTTCTACCTCACTTTTAAATTATTGTAAGCATTGGCAGCTACAAATGTAGGTAGGATTCTTTCTCTTGCTGTGACGTTTAGGAGGAATAAAGGAATGAAGTTAACAAGGCTGAGGAAGTCAAGAATTCCAGCCTGGGTAAGAAGAACAAGTGTGAATAAGGGCCACCCTAGACTAGCCTGACTCTTCTCTTACAATTCCCACATGGCGCACCTAAGAAAGGCTTTTAAGAAAAGAGTAGCAGAAAATAACTGGAACTTATTTTTATGACTACAAATGAAGTCTTCGTTTTATTTCAAGTAGCTGCACTCATTGGGAAACAGAACAAATCAATTATCTCCAATATTTTCTAAGATACTTTCTTGAGATAGCTCATTTATGTGATTATTCATCATTTTGCTGGGAATAGGTAGTGTCCAAATGAAAATGATTAATTTCCAGTATTTTTAAAAGTGTTCTAAATTATATTTATTATTATTTATTAGGTTTTTTTTAAAAAAAAATCCACCATTATTATTTTTTAAAGTAACTTAAGGCATTCTTCTTTGTCCCTGCAACAACAAACCTGTGAAGTGGTTTGGGCTCAGAGACAGTGACTGGCTCAAAGTCATCTAACTAGTTTTTATGCTTAAGGCCAGGACTAAAATTCACAGACTCCTGGTTTCTAAGTTAACACCTTAACCACTACATTCAATTGACTTTCTGTTACTCACTAAAGGAGCAAGTCAGTATAGTATAGTATTTTCCCAATTAATCTTATTATCAGACTTTTATTTCCTGTGTTGAGCTAAATATTGTGTTGTTATTGTTTTTGTTTTCTGTTTTTGGAAGATGACATGGACATTTCTAAAATGACATTTGCTTCTTCCTACAGTCTGTCCCAAGAGGTAAGGTGTTACTGCATCAGGCAAAGGTAATATTCAGAATGGTTTTAAGTATTTTCTTTTCTGTGTGTTCGGGGTCTCTTTTTCCTTGCAATATAGGCTGCATGAAACAGACATTAACTAGGATGAAAGGGGGAAAAAACCCCTTTATTCTTTTGTCTTTACTATTGTGTTTGACTTGGGGAATTAGAAAACATGTTTAACTTCCAAAAATGTACAATTAAAACAATACATATCTTGTACAACCCTTTAAGTTGTCATGCCTCTTTACTACAGTGAGTTCAATTTTTATCTTTATTTTCTATTACAGGAAGAATTCACAGGGTATGATTTTGAGAACAGGTTGCATGTTCGCATCCATGCAGCATTAGCCTCTCTGCGAGAAGTTGTCCCCCAGTGATGAACAGAAAGGCTCCCATCTTTTCTTTTTCGACTTTTGCCCTCGAAGGACAAAGCTGTCAGGAAGATCAGCTTTCCTCCAGAAAACCATCCTGTGCAAGAGATGTTTTCCTAAAGATGCAAAGCTGGTGATGAAAAAATGTTAACAATCTCAACAATTAAGGACTCAGTCAAAAAGGTTAAGTGACCTTAGGCTCAAACAACTGGTGATTTCTCATGTATATGTCCTTTTTAAATTCGGGGAAGCTAGACATTATGTTCAAGCCCAGCCACACAGACAGGGGATGGTTCTGGAGAATTCCTTTGAATATTAAAGTCCTTTAGTTCCAATGCTTAGAGATGTCTTTTTTGTTGTTGTTTTTTGTCAAGCTGGAAATCATAGCCTGTGGTTGTACAAATGAACGAACAATGAGCACACACTGATTTTCTCTATCAATATTGGCTTGATTTCTATTATTTTTCCCATTTCTGAATAGCTTAACTATTCTTCTATTGAAAGGAACCCTTTTCATGGAAACAATATTATAAAGTTGTTTCAGTATGGTATAGAAATGAATAGTTATATTCAAAAGCCAATGGATATAGAGCTGGAAAATTGCCTGGTGCATTTACAGCACAACAAACCTGCCCATGGAACTTTTCTTGGTCATACAGATATATGTAAATAATGAGATCTGCTCCCATATTTATTTTAAATTATGAGAATATATTTAGAAACTTTATTTTTTAGCCAAATGTTTATTTTTTAAATCCTTAAGCATTGTGTTAAACATTTGATACCTATTTAAATGGTAGTGTGGATAATTGGTTGTCAACAAGGGATTTGTGAATCATTCATGTTGCTAAAATGTAGGTTAAATATGAAAAACTTGCCTTCTGGCATTTTAAACCTATAGTATCCCTCCTTCTGGTTTTAGAACTTTTAAAATAATATAACACAGTAGAAGTTTATTCAATTTTCTGACTTTTAAAATTGTCACACATTATTTTAGTGTGTATGTATTTTTAAGGCAAATATTGTTTTTTGAAAAACAATTTTTAGCATAGTAGCTTTTCCTATATATTGTGAAGCTTTTTTTAATGGCATTAAAGCCTTATTTTCAATTTCTGAAATTTCTCTTTCACAACTCTGGATTCTCACCTGATCTGCTAAATGCTTTATCTTGTTTGTAGTTCACTTGAACAAACAAGCTCCAAAGAGCATTAAGAAAGAGAAAAAGATTACAATTACATTCACAAGGACTTCCCTGTTCACTTTCAGCATTGGGTAATGCTGGCATGAGCACACACAGGATAGTTCCTGTCCTGTGTTATGAGCTCAGTGCTTGGATTATCAAATGTGAATTGGAACCAAATGACCAAGTACATCATGTAACTGCTAAATTGCATAGCCTGTTTCTTGCTACTCTCCCCAAAAGTACTTAGTGGTTATTATATCATCTGTGCTCTTTTTAAAAAAAAACTATATTCTGTGAACAATTAACTCAAACTTGATTGTCAAACCTTCTTGATTCTATTGCTTTGGCGATATTTTGTTCTAAATGTTTAGTTCCTTTTTTGTATTTCAGTTTACATTGGTGTTTGTAGTCAATTTTCAGTGGAAACAAGATATGATTGTCCATACATTTTGCCCTTTAAAACCAGGAATTACCAGAGAGACTGTTCTTCAGTATGGTGCCCATTCCATATCATCATCATCAGAATTACATCAGAGCTGCCATTTCTTAGTCTGATTCTAATCCTGATTCTGGCCTTCTCTGTAGCAGCTCCAGACTTTTGGGACCTGCTCCCTACTGAGAGAGGAGGATTAACCTAATTTGCAGCCTTTTAAAAAGGCTTTTACACACAACTGCCTTGTTCCTAACTATTTTAATAGTGGCAATTTATTAATATTTTATTTGTTTAAGTATTTTTACCCCAACATTTTGAAATAAATAACAAAATAAAGCAAGATAATTAAATACTGTATAAATTCTAAACCAGTTGTGTAATTCTAGTCAGGTAAATCATTAGAATAAAAAAACATAGGAAATTTTAACACAGATATAACTTTTGTCTTGCAAATAAAAACATCCAAGCAAGCATCTTAAATCCAAAACATCTTGCAAAATCATCTTCATTAACTTTCTTAAAGATAACAATGCTCCAGGATACTGTGACCCATAGATTTCTGTGGAGAAATTATTTCACAACGATGGCAGCCATTGAGATAGACTGTTTCTAGGATCATCCACATGATCTCCTGAGACAAATAGGTGGAATGGACAGTTGCCAAGCAAAGCGTTTATAGGCCAGAAACAGCGATTTGAATTATCTTTTGAAATTACTTTGAAACAACACAGTACCTGCAAGAGTGAAGTTACATGGCTGAAGAAGCTTTCACTTCTCAGCAGTTTGCTAGTAGTTTTGGGGATAGGCCCAAATAAAGTGCATTGCTACCCCATTTTGAAGGGATGAGGGCACAAGCCATGCATGTCAAAACCTTCTGCTCCAAAAAGGGCCTCAACTGGTCCATCAGTCAAAGTGGAGCAAAGGCCATGTCTTCTATCTGTGAATCATATTGTGGCTATGACTTCAAAAGTCATGAACCTGCTTTTTAAAGTGGAATGCAACCTTATCTGCAGCCAATATAATCAACAAAGGACCAGATTGCTTCTGGACTAGCAATACCTTACTCTTATTGGACTTAAATTTCAGCTTGTTTCAACTGTCAATCCCATATAGACTATGGGCACCATATGAGGATTACCAGGGCATCAATAGTTTGGCCTGAGATTGAGTTTACACCATGGAATATTAACATATTGATGGTCCCTCATCCAGAAATGATCTCTTCTACTGATTTTATAGAAATGCTAAACACAGAGCCAAGAATGACACGAAGTAAATGAAAGGGCTAGCTGAACTTTAGCACTAATGATTGGAGCTACACCTACAGAATGAAGTGGACAAACAAAACAATGCAACATACCCCAAAATAATTAGACATGAAGAAACATATGGGAAGATCAATCTATGTCTTAAATATGTGTCTATAAGATGGTCCAGCAGAAAAGCATGGAGGGTGTGAATGCTTTTGAGAGGTCTGTAGGATCAGGAGAATTGAACTTTCTATCTGGGTGGTAACAAAGATCATCTACCAGATGTCCTATGCTGTTTTCATCTTCATTAAAAGGGAAGATGAGTGTAGGTGGAAGTTATGTAATACATTACTTCCTCTGTTTCATCCCCCAGAATTTTTGATACATGAATAGGTAATCAAAGGAGAGGGAAAGGCTCTTCAGGATATCACATCCAGTATTCTCATCTCAGTTTCAAGCTTGACTAGTTCCATAGCAGAACTATCTACCAAAAATCTATAAGCAGCTACTGAAAAGGATACAGTGTTAAGTGTTCAGGTAGCCCATTCTAATCAGTCCTTAGCCTTTCAGATGTCACTCGTGCCAACAGGGAACATATTGACTGGGAAGTGATCTGAGCATGATAAAAGCCTATTGCAATATTCTTCATAACCTCAGCCATCTGCTCTGGGGTGAAGAAAAATGGACCTAACATCAGTAGCAGTCGGAAGCCAAAGCGTCCTTCAATCTGGCCTCCTGAGCTCAGGGAAAGGACATCTGAAGAAAAAGAGACAGACCAAGTGGACAATCCCCCTTCTCTAGAAACAGCTTCTCCTTTCATAGTTCCCATTGTTTATCACTTCTGGTAATTTGCCTCATTCTCACCCTCAGTGGGATCAAGGGCCTATCCTCACCATTGTTCTTTAGGATCTTCCTAACAAGAAACTACTATTTCCTACCCCTCCAACACCTGATATGAACCATCTGTCTGACCAATGACACCTCTGGATTATCCTTCTTCAAAATCCTCACATCCAACTACAAAACAAATCTCGCAACCCTGAAGAAACTTGAAAGCTGTCAGGTACAACAAAAGTTCACTCTCCCTGCTTAACTCACCCAAAGTTTACTTGCCGCCAATAATTGCTTATCCCAAAAGTTCCTTACTCAGATATAGCATATTTTAGTCAGAATGCTAAACATTCACCAGATTTTTGGACAGTCAAGTTTAATCAGCATTTTAAATCTGGTTTTAGCAGCAGACCTATCTATATATTTATGAGACCTAAGGGGCTTTTGAGTGCCCAAACCCAAAGCAACACCAACCATCCTGTTTTTGGAAACTTAGGTAGCTAAAATAAGAAAAAAATCATTTGATGATGAGAATATAGGATGGGGCAAGTTAATTTTGAAAATAGTTTTGATCAGCTAAAATTTATAGATATATATCTGCATTTTTTTCTTAACAGTTTCTTATTAGTACAAGCAACTTTTTTCAACATACAGTCTTTTACAAAACAAATCGCTAAATATATATAAATATATAACCCCTTGTTATGGGGTTATAACAAAATTTCCTAAATGTCTTGTGATTATGTGCCAGCAGGGATGTTTGCAGACTATGGTGAAAATATTCAAGGTGGTAGCCATGGTGTGTGATCAAAGATCCACTTGTTTTTATAGGTGCCGGATTGAATAAAATTGGGTGAGGCAGTATCATAGTGGCCCTTCTTGATTTTTTTTCTAAACTATACCCTGCAAATACCCCTGTATGCCAGGAAATGTGTGAACAAGATAAATTTGCAAAACTTGTATACTCCCATTTTGGAGCCATTGGCTGGTTCCTTCAAAAACCATAGTTTTATAGAGCCAGTGTTACCTGGCCATGGATATGCTTCTGTCACTATGTCTGTTCTGAGATGCATCAATCTTGCAAGCAAAATGGCTGTCTAATATATAAACAGTAGCTTTCTGCTCCATCCACCCAAGTATTCCCATTCCTACTATTACTTTCCCCATATATACATTCTAGAAGAAACTTCTTGTAAACATAAAAGGTATTTTTATATTAGATTATGCTGGTGATGAGAACAATCGTGACTGTATTTTATGTAATCAGAATGTTTTTATACTTTATAGCTCGGAGGCATGATCTAATAGCAATAATTGATTAAGCATCTCATAGGGTTAATATATATTTTAAGAATTTTACCAAGGCAGATATATTTTTGTTGTTGAAACTTTTTACTGCATCGGTGAATAACTTGAAGTTTTACATGTCACTTTAGATTGTTTTCTATAATATACTATAGGTCTCATTTATTTAACATTAAAAAAAATATTTCTGCTTAGTTAAATTAAAATTTGATATTTTCCTGTTTCAATGTCTTAGAACCAGGATGAGTAACATGATTTTCTTCTGATGTTGTTCTCCAACTCCCATCAGCGGTAGTTAAAAAGGCTAGTTATGAGGGATAATGGGAGTTGCTGTTGGAAAAAAAAAGGGAGGGCCATTCTGGCCTACAACCAGTAGTTTTCTGATTTCAATTTATTGCATGTTTTTCAGGGATTAAATATTTATGAAGGAGAATTCTTACTTATGGCACTAGTTAATGTTGCACAGGAGAAGCATAGAATGTATCTTAATACTGTAATCCTTGCTTAAAGCAACAGAAGCGGCTCTTTCAAAATAGAGGAAAAGCAGGGAAAATATATGGGGGGAGATCTGCTTTTCCTGATGCTTTTTTCCCCACAGGAAACTATTTGGGCAGGTTAAAGACTCTTCTAACTTATTGGTAAGAAAGCAGCAGGAGGAAAGATTTGAATGTGGGGAAAATCTTCCTCCCTCCCTCTCCCTCTCTCTCTCCCTCCCCCCGCCCCTCTCTCACACACAGACACACAGACACCATATAAATCTCAATTCTTCAGGACACTGAGTAAATAGCAATAGAAATAGCAGTTAGACTTATATACCGCTTCATAGGGCTTTCAGCCCTCTCTAAGCGGTTTACAGAGTCAGCATATCGCCCCCACAGTCTGGGTCCTCATTTCACCCACCTCGGAAGGATGGAAGGCTGAGTCAACCTTGAGCCGGTGAGATTTGAACCGCTAAACTGCAGATAACAGTCAGCTGAAGTGGCCTGCAGTACTGCACCCTAACCACTGCGCCAACTCGGCTCTTTTTTTAAAAACTCAAATTGCTTGGTTTTCTGCTGAAATGGTAAACGTATGCCTAGCTGTGTAACTTGAATTCACATGTAGAAGATTTGTGAGATTGGATTATTCTTCTAGGTAAAAAGTTATTGCACTATAAATGGTTTCTAACAATATGATTCTTCTTCCTAGTTTTTTATGTACAGCCAGGCACCAACTGATCATTTCCCTGAGAATTAAACCAAGCTTCTAGACCAGCTACCTGTCCATCATGTTATGATTCTCTATGTTTAGTAGATATATCACATATGCTATATTCCATAGAACTTACATATGATTATCACAGTATAAATACATGTGGTATCAATTCAGAATAGCTCATTTATTTAAAGTGTTGTTTTTTAAAATATACAGTTATTACCTTTTTCCTGTAATCAACATCGAAAATGATATGGGAAACCCCAGCTACTTTAATATACATATGCTGTTTTCAGTTGGCATTCTGCAATACACTTGGGTACTGGATACTCAGTTCAAAGTTTCAGCTGTGATTTGGACAAGAGTATTTTATATACTTTGTTTGCTTCCCATGCATAATCTGTATTTTTTTAATGTAGTTTTTCTGTTTCAGTTTTTCTCTGGTGCAGACTTGGTTCTGCCATTTTCAATATTTATTATTCTCTACGTTTGTTCTTAAATAAAATCTGTAAAAACGTCTTCTGACTTAGCCTCTCCATTTTTAACTATATTGCCCCAAAATGTATTTTGCTTCCTGCATGTTAGTAGAACAGAAAGCACTTTGTTTCTTTCAAAATGAAAAGTTACCTTCATGCTCTACAACTATAAATAATGGACAATGGGGAAGAGGGCTTTAAATGTTAATATTTAATACGAAATATTATTTGGGGACAAAAGGTATGTTGTATCTATTTATTTTATTTATTAAATATATAAGGACACCCTCCTCCTGTAATACTAAAACAATTTAAAACTATAGGATCACAAGAATCTGAAACACTCTAACCATATAATGTATCCCAGGAAAAGGCTGGGTTTTAAGGGCTCTTTTAAATAAGGCCAGGGTATGGGCCAAGCAGGCCAAACAAAACCTTGGAGAAATGTTCCTGAGGATAGGTACTGCAACAGACAAGATATACTTCCTGGATCCCACCAGTAGCATTGTTTACATGATAGGATCTGGAGCATGCCAACGCTTCCGGATAATAAGAATGGGAAGAAACTGCAGATGACAAATGATTCCTCAGATGACAGCTTCTACGTCATTTATAAGAGAATTGGATGCAACTCATAAATCATAGGCTCATTTCTGATGCTTGAATATGTTTCCCTTCCTCTTTCAGAGTGGAAGTACAACAAAAACAAATAGGGATTTGAGTGATTAAGTTGCATCTATAATATAATATGGTTAATTATGTTTTGTAATATGGATGCTGGTTTTATTTGATATTTGGAATTATTTCTAATTAAAGGGTATATTAATGTTTTGAAGATCTTGCCCTAAGTCTTATTTGTACTTGGGGCATATTTTATTGGGTAACTGGTTTGTCATTATAGAATTAATAAATAAATAGTTTTTGCTCTTTCAGCATTCCTATGGAATGTATGAATTGGCCTGCAGGAATCACATATGCAACTTCTGTTTAAGATTTAATGACGTATATGTTGAATATGAAAACCCACGATGGAATTCTAAGGAAATTTAATGGCATATATGTAGAGCCCATTCTGATTTGAAATTCACAGCTATAAGAATTCTCATCTGGGAATTCTCTACATGGACACCCAAATGTTTGCAGAATTCTGTTCACGATTCTCATGCTAAACACTAAAGAGACCTGTGTCCAGGAAAGAAAAGAATGTGGATTGGGCTGCATATTTAACTCATTTTTGGTGCCTTGATATATCCCTTCCAGCTACTAAAAGCAGGAACAAGCAGGCAAGCCTTATGCCTTTCAAACGTCAAAAGCAGTTACATACATTTCAATCTTCATCTCTTCATAATCAGTATCTGAGATGTTCACATCTTGCTAATATTATCAAATAGAATATTTTTCTATAGTAATTTTGGCAAATGAAAATTAACAGATGCAAGTTATATCTACAAATATCTATAATAATAGATGTAGAGAAAGAGTTGTATCATAGACTGATATTTACTGATGTATATAACATTTTAATGCAAACCAAGTAAAATATACGAAGTATTGCTCAGAGGGGTATTAGTATTTTAATATATGCACACTCAATTTACAATTGTTTAATTATAATTATAATCCCCATGTTAACATTAAACATGTAATTGTCAGTGGAAATTGTAATTGTCAGACTAACTTCACAATAGGACAGAGACAGGGACATAAGACTGTTCACAACAGTATCCAATCTGAATACTTGTCAGTGTCTGGTGTTATAAAATGTACACAAGTGTAAGTGTTCTCAGAGGCTAATGGGCAGGCTTAATGGCTAAGTTTCCTCCCTACAGGGAATCGTGTAAAGAGAACAATTTCTGCATTCAAGAAATCTGAAATATGAACAAGTACTTTTTTTTAAAAAATACATTTTTATTTATTAGTATGCTGTCTTCAGTAAGAGAACTTGCAGCAGTTGCCTTAAAAGCTGGGAGTTTTGAGGAACTAAAGTTAAAACCTCCCGGAATGCATCAAGACTGGACGTTCCCATTATTTGTACATAAACAGGTGAAAACATTTGAGACGAATAAGTTGGATGTCTTTGATGCAGATCACTGGACGATCAATAGCCGGACTTTGTGACCTCATAAATGCGTGCACTCTAGTCCCGCCCACTAAAAGCCTATCCGTATAAAAGGTCCTCGGGGCTCTTTAACTCCAGAGGAGGCTCCGGCAAGGGGCAAGAAAGGAGTGATCTCGTCGCTGACAAGCGCCAAAAAATTTTAAAGAAGGTTGGGGAATTTTCAGGACACCCGCGGGACTGTAGTGAGAGGCTTGCCGGCCTCTTACGCCTGGCCAGTATCAGAAGGAGGGAGGGCAAGTGGGAGGGAAAGGCACAAGCCGCGGGACCCTTTCGGGGGGATGTGCATGGGCAGATCGGGGGAATGTGCAGCAGCAGATATCAGAAGTGTCACCCGAGCCAGCAACATATACAACGGCTTGGAAATGCACGATTGCCAAGCCACGATGGCTTGGCCCGAGAGACTGCTTTGCTGGCTTGGCTGATCGACGTCTGTTGCAGGAGTTCCCGCCTTCGCAGTTTAGCGATTAAGTAACTGCGCGTTGTGTACATTTCCGAGGGCAAAACCCCTGAAACCGTAAATGTTCTTCCCTAAACTGGCATTCTCTAGAGCCGTCGCACAACTCCCACCATCAGTATTCTGCTTTGTATCTGAGGCAGAAAGCTTATTGTAGTTGCCGGGTGAGCTTGGGTGTGTGTGTATGAGTGTGAACTCCATAAAGTGATCTTTAAGAAAGAAGCACTCAGAGTTAAAAGGCAAAAGGCCAGTCTTTCAGGAATATGTAAGTGGCAATTTCACCACCCAGAGACCTTGGATACAAGTTGGGTGGCAAATACACTTCATAGTAAATAAAATATACTGTCTTGGAAGAGTTTTACCTATCATGAACACTAAAGATTACAAAGAGTGCAAGTGTGGTCCTCTGCTCCAAGTTTATTTCTTGATATACCACAGTTAGCATGTCAGAATCAGAATTGAAAAATAACATTTAAACTACTGAATTCAATTCTGCTGCAGGCAGGAATCCAAATGAAAGAATCCTGAGATTGCTGTCTAGTCTCTGCTTAAATACTTTCAATGAATAGGACCTCAAAACCCTTTTGAGTGGTTCCATTGCCAAACAGCTCTTACAGTTCGGTGGGTGTTTTTTCTACGATAAAAATCTTCCTTTGTGTCAATCAAATCCACTATTCCAGGTCTTATCATCAGAGATGAAAGAGTACAGATGTTGACATTCAAATCCTTTCAGGTACTTGAAAATCTCCATCATATCCCATCCACTTATTCCATCTTCTGTGGGCAAAACATTTATAGGCCTGGGTGAATTTCAGTCATTCTGCTGCACTGAAATGCTTGGCCTCATGCAGGTGTGCAACTTTCTCAACATGCAGAAGTAGAATTGGGCTGGTTTACCTTAAATATCTGTACAGCTTCAGTGGCATGCAGTGTATATGAGCAGGAATTACTTTTCCTGAGCCAAGGATCTTCACTGCTCTGCTGCACTGGTTAGAAGCAGGACGCTGAAGTGTTTTATCAAAAAGGTTTGAATGACTGCTTTGTTAAAATCTTCATCAAATCAAAGGACCTTTTCAACTATTTGTTCAGCTCCATATTCCTTTAATCTGCCTTCATAGGATTTTGTTTCCAGTTGGTATATCCTCTTGCCTTTTTTAAACTATTGTGGTTTGAATGCATCCTTGTTAAAATGGAACGACTAGAATTTTGAGTCCCAGTGCAGAATAAAATGAAACTATTATTTTCTGTGATCTGGAATCTGTACTTCTTTTCATGCAATCTGGAAGTGTATTTTGCCTTTTTGGCAGACATATTATACTAATGGCTCATACCAGTATTTATTTTGCAATAAACTCTAGTTTCAAGATACTATTCACGATTGACAGGCCAATTATTTTTCATCCTGTACCTGGCCGTTTGTTTCCCGAATGAAAAGCTTTGCATTCATTCCCATTGAATGAATTCAATAATTATTTTATTTACAGCCCATTTCTTTAACCAATTAAGCTTATTTTGAAATATCTTTCTTCAACTTTAGATGTCCTTCCCACTTTCCTGCCATCTTCAAATTTGATAAAAGTGTTTCTACCATCTCTTCCTTCATATTTTAGGGACAGAGGCCCACACTTTAACTAGCTTGCTATTGAAATGTTGTGGAATCCTTTGACAAATGCTTTGCTGAAACCAAGACAGTCTATGTCTAGCATTTCCTTATTCTACTAAGAAGGTTATCCCATCAGAATAGTAACATTAGTTTGGCAAGATTTGCCAAATCCAGACCGGAAAATTACTGCATTGTTTTCAAGGTGCTTACATAAAATCAACTGCTTTATGATTGCCTTAGAACCTACTGTATACTGGTGTCAGATTGAATAATTGAATTCTTTTTTAGAAGAGAAGCATTTGCTTTATTAATTCTTTAATTCTATTTCTTCATCTTAGTCTTTAAGATGCCTGATGAAATCTATAATATCCTGCTAGAGAAATAGCCAAAATAAGCCAAAATAAGAAGTGACTAATTCTGTCATTTCATTATCTTTTTGTGTTTTTCCATCTTTGGTTTCTTTTCTTTTAAAGAGATCTGAGGTAGTCTGTTTTATTGTTTCAACATCGTTTGTCAAACTTCTAACAGTTTTTGAGCTAGTCATTCCTCTCAATCTTTTCTCAATCTTGCTTTGTGCTTTTTCTTCCTTGATGGTCTAGCCCTCTTTTTATATCCTATATGTGGGGTTTTTTTTTGGGGGGGGGGGATTTCCTGTAATCTTTTTGTAGCCATAGTGGCTTCTGTTGTCTTCCATTTCCAGTACCTTTCCTTGAATTGTTTCCAGCTGTTCCTTTAGGAGTAAACTGGCATACTAATTTGTCTGTAGTTTCCCTTAAAATCAAGAACTTCAGCATTACACAATTACTGCTGGTTCATTTATCATTTATTTTCCCTATTGTATAATATTAAATCAATGATATTTGATGTTCTTATGTCTTCAACTGCCCCTTAAAGGGAAAAAGTTTTCAGCAAAGCAAAGCAAAAGTTTCCTGGAAAATCCATGCTTGACAGAATTTGGCTCTCAAGAGATGCTGAGGCATGGAAATCCTTTGTCTATACCAGTGATGGCTAACCTTTTTGTTGTTGGGTGCCAAAAATGGCACTCATGATACAAAGTGCATCCCCACATATGCATGCACGCACAACAAACCCCCCCCCACGCTCACCCCATGCGCCACACTGCTCGCCTCCAAACTGAGTTTGGTATTTCCTCCGGGGAAGTGTAGGAGACTGTTTTTGCTCTCCCCAGGCTCCAGGAAAGCCTCCGGAGTCTTGGGAGGGTGAAAAACTGGCCCAGTGGGCCTACTGGAAGTTTGGAAACAATCCATTTCCGGCTTCCAGAGGGCATACGGGGGGGGGGGGGGAGGCATTTTTACCCTCCGCGGGTCCCGGGAAAACCCCCGAGCGCC